GCCTGGCTATTTTTTGGCTGTAGTTGTCATTGTTTGGCAGGCCCAGGGCTGGATCCGAACTCGCCAGCTCTGGTGTGTATGGCCTGGCGCCTTAGCCGCTTGAGCTACAGGTGCCACCCATGGACTCATTCTGAATGTTCATTTAGAGTTTTTATATTTGTTTACTCTAACAAACAGCATATTAATGAACGTCCTTATACTTATATCTTTGAGCACTTACACTGATATTTCCGTGGAACAGACTGCTAAAAGTAGAATTGATAGGCTTTTAATTTTCAATAGATATGACCCCCAAAATCGCTCTTACAAGGTATCATTTAACATTCCCACCAACCATTTCCCTGTGCTCTCATTTTTGCCAACTTCAAAAGCAAGAAAAGAAAAGATAGAAAAGGTGGAGGAGGTATTTTATTAATTACTCAGGAGGCTGAACATGATTTTATTGACATTTTATTTATTGATGTTTTTATTTCTTCTCTGAATTGTCCCTTCCTGTCTTTCATCCATTCTCTCCCTCCCTTGGGTTGTCCTTTCCTTATTTGTTTGTAGGAGGCCTTTATTATTAATAGTAGCCTTTTGTGTCGTATATATTGCACATATTTTGTGTACATCTTAATTTTAACTTTGTTTACTATATCTTTTATTTTGCAAACGTTTTTAACAAATGTAACTGAAAATTTCAAAACAACAGTAGCACCTATAGTGAATATTCAATAAATACTTGTCAATTTTCTTAACCTTCCTTCTTTTTTTGACAGTCTTAAGCTGTTACCCAGGTAGAGTGCTGTGGCATCATAGCTCTCCAACTCTTGGGCTCAAGGGATCCTCTTGCCTCCGTTTCCCTGTTTTTTTTCGTTTTCTTTTTTGAAACAGAGTCTCAAGCTGTCGCCCTGAGTAGCGTGCCATGGTGTCGTAGCTCCCAGCAACCTCCAACTCTTGGGCTCAAGTGATCCTCTTGCCTCATTTTCTTTCCACTTTTAGTAGGGACAGGGTCTGGCTGTAGCTCAGGCTGGTCTTGAACTTGTGAGCTCAAGCAATCCTTGGCCTTGAGCCTCCCAGAGTGCTAGGATTCTAGGCATGAGCCACCATGCCTAGCCCATTGCTTAACCTTTCTTATTTGGTTTTTTACGTTAGAACAACCGACATAAAGGAGAAACTGGTATTTTCTGTTCTGTTTAGAATTTCTCTTTGTTCTCTATTTTATAAAGCATTCAAGATCAACCAGTTATAAAAAGACAGTCTACTCAATATTTAGGCGTTCCATTCCTTAGCTTAGTTTGGTAGACTAAGAAAAGGCTTCTACATTTGGTATGCTTGCCACTCCAAAGAGGTTGTTTTTTCTGTTTGGTTTTTGGTTTTTTGAGTGTCATGAAATATAAATCCTTCCCTCTAAGTAATATGAGATAATGTATTTTCCTTCCTTGCCAAATTATAATATTGCTTTTTATAAAAATGCATTGGAAACACGTAAAGAATATTGAACTGCTAATAAGGAGAACACAAATTTAGGCTCGGCGCCTGTGGCTCAAGTGGCTAAGGCGCCAGCCCCATACACCTAAGGTGACAGGTTCGAGTCCAGCCTGGGCGCGCCAAACAGTAATGATGGCTGCCACCAAAAGAAATAGCCAGGTGTTGTG